CATTAATAAAACTAAGCCTAATTAAATCTATAAAAAAATTTACTTGGTATATTTGTCCTTGGCTTCCTTCTGTTCTTCATTTCTTCATTCATAGTCTATAACTGAAAAGCTATAACATTAATAAAACTAATCCTAATTAAATCTTTATAAAAAAATTTACTTGGTATATTTGTCCTTGGTTCTTCCTTCTGTTCTTCATCTTTATAGTCCTATAACTGAAAAGCTATAACATTAATAAAACTAATCCTAAACAAATATATATAAAAAATTTACTTGGTATATTTGTCCTTGGTTTTTCCTTCTGTTCTTCATTTCTTCATCTTTATAATCCTATAACTGAAAAGCTATAAAATTAATAAAACTAATCCTAATTAAATCTATATAAAAAATTTACTTGCTATATTTGTCCTTGGTCTTCCTTCTGTTCTTCATTTCTTCATCTTATTCTATAACTGAAAAGCTATAACATTAAAAACTAACTCATAGTCCATAACTGAAAAGCTATAACATTAAAAAACTATCCTAATTAAATATATAAAAATTTACTTGGTATATTTGTCTTGGTTCTTTCTGTTCTTCATTTCTTCATCTTCATAGTCCTATAACTGAAAAGCTATAACATTAATAAAACTAATCCTAATTAAATCTATATAAAAAATTTACTTGGTATATTTGTTTGTCTTCTTGTTCTTCTTCTTTCTTCATTTCTTTCATCTTCATATCTATAACTGAAAAGCTATAAATTAATAAACTAATCCTAATTAAATCTATATAAAAAATTTACTTGGTATATTTGTCCTTGGTTCTTCCTTCTGTTCTTCATTTCTTCATCTTCATAGTCCTATACTGAAAAGCTATAACATTAAAAAAATCCTAATTAAATCTATATAAAAAATTTACTTGGTATATTTGTCCTTGGTTCTTCCTTCTTTTCATTTCTTCATCTTCATAGTCTATAACTGAAAAGCTGAAACATTAATAAAACTAATCCTAATTAAATCTATATAAAAAATTTACTTGGTATATTTGTCCTTGGTTCTTCCTTCTGTTCTTCATCTTCATAGTCCTATAACTGAAAAGCTATAACATTAATAAAACTAAGCCTAATTAAATCTATATAAAAAATTTACTTGGTATATTTGTCCTTGGTTCTTCCTTCTGTTCTTCATCTTCATAGTCCATATAACTGAAAAGCTAAATTAATAAAACTAATCCTAATTAAATCTATATAAAAAATTTACTTGGTATATTTGTCCTTGGTTCTTCCTTCTGTTCTTCATTTCTTCATCTTCATAGTCCTATAACTGAAAAGCTATAACATTAATAAAACTAATCCTAATTAAATCTATATAAAAAATTTACTTGGTATATTTGTCCTTGGTTCTTCCTTCTGTTCTTCATCTTCATAGTCCTATAACTGAAAAGCTATAACATTAATAAAACTAAGCCTAATTAAATCTATATAAAAAATTTACTTGGTATATTTGTCCTTGGTTCTTCCTTCTGTTCTTCATCTTCATAGTCCTATAACTGAAAAGCTATAACATTAATAAAACTAATCCTAATTAAATCTATATAAAAAATTTACTTGGTATATTTGTTTGGTTCTTCCTTCTGTTCTTCATTTCTTCATCTTCATAGTCTATAACTGAAAAGCTAAATTAATAAAACTAATCCTAATTAAATCTATATAAAAAATTTACTTGGTATATTTGTCCTTGGTTCTTCCTTCTGTTCTTCATTTCTTCATCTTCATAGTCCTATAACTGAAAAGCTATAACATTAATAAAACTAATCCTAATTAAATCTATAAAAAATTTACTTGGTATATTTGTCCTTGGTTCTTCCTTCTGTTCTTCATTTCTTCATCTTCATAGTCCTATAACTGAAAAGCTATAACATTAATAAAACTAATCCTAATTAAATCTATAAAAAAATTTACTTGGTATATTTGTCCTTTTCTTCCTTCTGTTCTTCATTTTTTCATCTTTATAATCCTATAACTGAAAAGCTATAACATTAATAAAACTAATCCTAATTAAATATATATAAAAAATTTACTTGGTATATTTGTCCTTGATTCTTCCTCTTGTTCTTCATTTCTTCGTGTTCATAGTCCTATAACTGAAAAGCTATAACATTAAAAAACTAATCCTAATTAAATCTATATAAAATATTTACTTGGTATATTTGTCTTGGTTCTTCATTTTGTTCTTCATTTCTTCATCTTCATAGTCCTATAACTGAAAAGCTATAACATTAATAAAACTAATCCTAATTAAATCTATATAAAAAAATTTACTTGGTATATTTGTCCTTGTTCTTCTTCTGTTCTTCTTCTTCATCTTTTCATAATCTTCATCTTCTATATCATCCTATAACTGAAAAGCTATAACATTAATAAACTAATCCTAATTAAATCTATATAAAAAATTTACTTGGTATATTTGTCCTTGGTTCTTCCTTCTGTTCTTCATCCCTCAAAGTCCTATATCTGAAAAGCTAAGATAACAATGATAATATTAAAATCCTAATTAAATCTATATAAAAAATTTACTTGGTATATTTGTCCTTGGTTCTTCCTTCTGTTCTTCATTTCTTCATCTTTATAGTCCTATAACTGAAAAGCTATAACAATAATAAAACTAATCCTAATTAAATCTATATAAAAAATTTACTTGGTATATTTGTCCTTGGATCTATCTTCTGTTCTTCATCTTCATAGTCCTATAACTGAAAAACTATAACATTAATAAAACTAAGCCTAATTAAATCTATATAAAAAATTTACTTGGTATATTTGTCCTTGGTTTTTCCTTCTGTTCTTCATCTTCTTAGTCTAATATCTGAAATGCTAAGATTGATAAAACTAAGCCTAATTAAATCTATATAAAATTTACTTGGTATATTTGTCCTTGGTTCTTCCTTCCTGTTCTTCATTCTTCATCTTCATATCCTATACTGAAAAGCTAAAACATTAATAAAACTAAGCCTAATTAAATCTATATAAAAAATTTACTTGGTATATTTGTCCTTGGATCTAACTTCTGTTCTTCATCTTCATAGTCCTATAACTGAAAAACTATAACATTAATAAAACTTAAGCCTAATTAAATCTATATAAAAAATTTACTTAGTATATTTGTCCTTGGTTTTTCCTTCTGTTCTTCATCTTCTTAGTCCTAATCTGAAAGCTAATATTAAAAAATAAGCCTAATTAAATCTATATAAAAATTTACTTGGTATATTTGTCCTTGGTTCTTCCTTCTGTTCTTCATTTCTTCATCTTCTTAGTCCTATATCTGAAAAGCTAAGATAACATTAATAAAACTAAGCCTAATTAAATCTATAAAAAAATTTACTTGGTATATTTGTCTTGGTTCTTCCTTCTGTTCTTCATTTCTTCATTCATAGTCCTATAACTGAAAAGCTAACATTAATAAAACTAATCCTAATTAAATCTATATAAAAAATTTACTTGGTATATTTGTCCTTGATTCTTCCTTCTGTTCTTCATCTTCATAGTCCTATAACTGAAAAGCTATAACATTAATAAAACTAATCCTAATTAAATCCATATAAAAAATTTACTTGGAATATCTGTCCTTGATTCTTCCTTCTGTTCTTCATCTTCCAAAGTCCCATAACTGAAAAGCTATAACATTAATGAAACTGATCCTAATTAAATCTAAATAAAAAATTTCCTTGGTAATTTTGTCCTTGGTTCTTCCTTCTGTTCTTCATCTTCAAAGTCCTATAACTGAAACGCTATAACATTAATAAAAACTAAGCCTAATTAAATCTATATAAAAAATTTACTTGGTATATTTGTCCTTGGTTCTGCCTCCTGTTCTTCATTTCTTCATCTTTATAGTTCTATAACTGAAAAGCTATAACATTAATAAAACTAAGCTCAATCAAATCTATATAAAAAATTTACTTGGTATATTTGTCCTTGGTTCTAACTTCTGTTCTTCATCTTCATAGTCCTATAACGGAAAAACTATAACATTAATAAAAACTAAGCCTAATTAAATCTATATAAAAAATTTACTTGGTATATTTGTCCTTGGTTTTTCCTTCTGTTTTTCATCTTCTTAGTCCTATATCTGAAAATGCTCCTAATTAAATCTATATAATAAATTTACTTGGTATATTTGTCCTTGGTTCTTCCTCCTGTTCATCATGTCTTCATCTTCTTAGTCCTATATCTGAAAAGCTAAGATAACATTAATAAAACTAAGCCTAATTAAATCTATAAAAAAAAAAAAATTGGTATATTCGTCCTTGGTTCTTCCTCCTGTTCTTCATGTCTTCATCTTCTTAGTCCTATATCTAAAAAGGTAAGATAACATTATAAAACTAAGTCTAATTAAATCTATATAAATAATTTACGTGGTATATTTGTCCTTGATTCTTTCTCTTGTTCTTCATGTCTTCATCTTCTTAGTCCCATAACTGAAAAGCTAAGATAACATTATTGAAACTAAGCCTAATTAAATCTATATAAATAATTTACTTGGTATATATATTTGTCCTTGGTTTTTCCTTCTGTTCTTCATTTCTTCATCTTCTTAGTCCTATATCTGAAAATCTAAGATAACAATAATAAAACTAAGCCTAATTAAATCTATATAAAAAATTTACTTGGTATACTTGTCCGTGGTTCTTCCTCCTGTTCTCCATCTTCTTAGTCCTATATCTTAAAAGCTAAGATAACATTAATAAAACTAAGCCTAATTCAATCTATATAAAAAATCTACTTGGTATATTTGTCCTTGTTTCCTCCTTCTGCTCTTCATCTTCTTAGTCCTATATCTGAAATGCTAAGATACCATTAATAAAACTAAATCTAATTAAATCTATATGAAAAATTTACTTGGTATATTTGTCCTTGGTTCTTCCTTCAGTTCCTCATTCTCATAGTCCTATATCTGAATAGCTAAAATAGCATTAATAGAACTAAGCCTAATTGAATCTATATAAAAATTTACTTGGTATATTTGCCTTGGTTCTTTCTGTTCTTCATTTCCTAATCTTTATAGTTGTGCATCTGGAAAACTGGGATGCAATAATAGTAATAATAATAACTAGGCCTAGTGGGAATAGTGGGAATGTCCTAATGGGTAAATCTATCAAAAATTAAAAAAAATATTTAAAAATAAATAAAACAAAACAAATAAAATGAATAAAAAAGCCATGGCATGCCCTGTTAACTTTTTGCTCTTTTGTCGTTCTCTTGATGTCCTGTTTCCTGTTGAAAATATCTCAAGAAATATAGAATAGAAAATAATAGTTATGACAATGAGATAGCAACATATAGACAGGGGCTATTACGGAATTTTTAAATATGCAATATATAGATGGAGGCTATAACGGAATTTTTAAATATGCCATATATAGATAGAGGCTATTACGGAATTTTTAAATATGCAACACCAAAAGTATACATAAAACATAATTAGTATGATTGTACTCTAAAAATTAGCATATTCCACGAAAAATAAAATGCACCAACGGGTCGGTATATTTGAAGCTGTAACACACAACACTATTATCAGGTAAAAATAGAACTATTTTCAGAGGAATCCAATATTCTTAACAAAATACCATAAGTAATAAACATTAATCAACAAAAATCAAAACATTGTGGATATATTTATTGAGAATCAAAATAAATATTGGATATGGAAAATATAAAGAATAATTTTGGAATATCTGAATATGTCTTATTTTCTTAAACTATAAGAAATTAAGGCTAGTAAGAATGACGCCACCAAAAAGAGGCTTGTCAAACACCCTACATACTCGGATTTGTAAAATGCTTTGATTGTCATTCAAATTCTGATTTTAAACAAGGTACCGACATTCAACCGTATTGTCATGTTTACTGTCATAAATTTTGAAATAATAAAAGATAATTTTGACCACTAATTGCCAGATTCTGTGGTCTTATATTTTAGTATTGGCCGAACAAATATTGCTACTATGATTGCCATGCTGTGTATTCCCTCCCTTCATGGGCCCACCAATCACCAGAACCCCATCCCCCCCTCCCAACCCCTGTGTATGTGAGTGTAGTATATTTGTTTTTTGTTTTGTTTTTTGATGGAGATTCATCGACAGAAGAGACAAACCATGCCGGCCTGGTTTGTTTTCCGAAGACGATTCCAAACAAAGAACAAGCAGTGTTGATAAAGTACCGGTAAGATTAGATTTGTGTGTTAGGTAGCATTGACAACCATGAATAGACTTTATTTAGTTCGTACTGAATACAAATGGTTTAAAAATGAGTAAATAAGACAATAATGAGGTATCATAGCATTATATTTTGAATGCTCATTCCTTATTAATAAGAAAAGTATTTGTATAAGTAAGTTATATGACAAATATGTTGAATGACGCCGCCTCCTTCATGCCAAGTAATCACAGGAATGTATGTTTAGAATGGAATGGAGTGATGAAATACAAATTTAAACGATGTTTTGGTATAATAAATATATCCACTATTCAATTTTACATAAGACATGAACTATAAATTCTTAATTTTTCATAAATATGGAATCAAATATAAAAATTGTATTGTATCGTAATGATGAATACAAAAAAAATTGATTTGGTTTCTAAACAATGGTTCGATCAAGAATCTGTTTCCGTTTATTAAAATCACAAGAACATGATTGGTGGACCCATTTGTTCTTGCATAAAAGATTAAAGTATGTATGCCATTGGGTATAGTCTAAAATAGTCTCATGGCATTGGGTAAAGGCTAAAATAGTCTCATGCCATTGGGTAAAGGCTAAAATAGTCTTATGGCATTGGATATAGTCTAAAATAGTCTCAAGTGCAGCTCAATGCATTTGTTTGCAAGTAGTTCTCAGACATGTTTGATAAAACTCTCTTTCAGATTTGAATACTCAAGTTTTATCATTTTTAATGATTCCAAATTTCAAGTTCTTTAATTGAGAAAACCTGTGGAAAAAAATATACAATTAAACATAATGTCTATGATACGATATTCTTTTTTGCAATTTTAAGAATTCGTATGGGTTAGTAAATATGACCCAATAATAATTTGCTTTTATTTCGCTTTTATTATGCTAATGAAAACAGTATAGATATCCATTTTAACAAATTCATTACATCAGTGATTTCAACATTTCTACCCCCGCAAACTGAGGACACCAAATAAAATAAACTCGAGTACCGGCATCAGAATATTGAAACATTAATAATGATTTCAAGCTATCGTAAGCATGCAAGTAAAACATGTATAACTTATACATCGTATCATCTTATTGTCTCCTACTTTTTTTACTGCGTGAAATTATAAAATTTGACACTAAAACATGTTAATCAACTTTACGTTACTCGATTTGATCTCACAGATGAAAGGTTAAATGTCTTACGGATAAAAATATTAAATTCAAAAATTTAATTTTGATTGGTTTCATTATCAGGTCTTGCATGTTTCACAAATACTCGATTTTTTGAATTTTTTTTTTGAATTTTTTGAATAATTGAATTTTTTGAATAATGAATTTTTTATAATAATAATTGAATTTTTTGAATAATGACACGTTTCCTAGAATTTTCCCACTAACCATATCGCCGGATGAGAACAGAACAGGCCTAAGTCACAGTTTTGAGAAAAACGCAAAAAACAATTTGGAATTTTTTATTTTTGAATTTCTAAATATTCACACTTAGTAAAGTCCTGAGCTCTGGTTATTTTAATGTGGATGATGATATTTTTTGTAATCAATATTTTTTTGTCACTTCAGCTTAATTCCTTTCTGCTTTTTCACCACCATAAGGGATTTTGGCCCATTCTGTTCTCAACAACTCCTGAAATTTTTTGTATGGGATGCAAGGTAAAACAAGGTGACTTAGGCCTAAGTTGCACTGAACAAATTTTTAAGGATGTAAGTTTCAGACATTTCATTTCTGATGTTCATGCCCACCATATTGGAACTTAGGACTATCTTTTTTCACTATTTTGGGGGTTTGAGCCATGCTCTACCTACAAGATGGTGGTCTTGAAATCCTGAATTTCTCAATAATAAAAATCTTAGCTGGACTTAGGCCCATTCTGTTCATAAATATTTTAGTCCTAGGTCCAGCTAAAATTTTTATTATTGAGAAATTCTGGATTTCAAGACCACCACTTTGTAGAGCATGTTCTCATCCGGCGATATAAACTTTCATATGTTTTCATAGTCATGTCATCTCCACGTTTTTTTCTCGCAAACTCATACGACATTTTTATTGGAGGTGGCTATGATATTGATGACTATCTTGCGACAAAGTTTGGAATCAAATATGAGAAAATTATACTTTAGTTATCAGATTTTTCACGTATTTGAATGATATAAATAAAAGTTCGCATTTAATGGCTATTAAACAAATCTGGGTCGGGCATTTAAAACTAATTTGATGCATTTGTAATCCAAATTTATAGGTGAATCAACAGACAACAAGCCAATATATACTTTCTTACTATTATTATATACTTACTCGAGTCGAAAGTCGCAAAAAGCTTTGAACCCCTGAATTGTCGACTGACCGACATACGGACTGCGCATTCTGAGTGAACCCAAAACAACGACTTTTAAAGAGAGAATAGGGCAATTTGAACGTTTACGCAAGTTGCAACAAATTGTTATGGTCTTACCTTGTTCGGTAAAGGCAAATGTTTAATTTCAAATACTTTTCATGAATTTCATAATAATTGAGAGGTAAAAGCGAAACTTTTTGATTGAATAGATTTCGAAATTCTTGATATATTTGAAAAAAAAAGGTTCAAAAGATGATTTAAAAAACTGGCAATTGAGATTAGGCAATGGGAGAGCAGTTTAAAAAAAAATTAATAATAAGAGATACAAAAGCTGAATGAGATTTGGTTCCAGTCTGTCAGTTAATTTTGTCTATATTTAATCTAAAATAAGATTCAACAGCAAATATTTGGAAATGAATCATGGCGATTTTTATTGAAAAACATTTATAAGCTAGATAACTCTTTCCACACTTGAAAAAGTCATAGCTTCAAATACGACACTTTTCGACTCAACATAGTTCTTGGGCGTCACGAAACCGCCAGAAGAAGACTTGGAAAATGAATATCGAATTGTTAACACTTACTTCCATTAGAGATAATTTGTATAAAAGTAGGCGAGAAAAGAATCTAGCAGCAAATTTCTCAGTGTTTTTTTTTTAAATTTGGTGTGACAATAAATTTGAAAAACAGTTTCCAGAAATTTATGCGTTTCAAGTCATAACTTTTGCAAGGACGCCTGACAATGCCTTAAGAACAATAACAAGAAGACACTATTTTGTGACTGCAAATAATAGAAAGCCTGCGGTTTTACCCAGGTATTGATATCTGGCCCGCCTGCGAAAAAGGTTGCATATCCCTGATTTAAAGAGATGATTCAAACAAATCTCACATTTCTCACAAGTTTCATGGAAATTTTCGTTTTTCTCCGATTTTTTTCAAAACGTGGTGTTTTTCTCAAATTTAACACTTTTTTCATTAGTCACAAAATATTTTTGATCATATAAAAGCTAAATATATCGAAAATATCGGTATACATTTAGTCGATACCGATACAATACTAATGTCAAAAAATCGGCCGATACTGCCGAAACCGATACATCGGTACATCTCCACATCAGACTATAGGACACAACAGAGAATATTGCTCTAGGTAACGGGTTGTTCAGAATGATTGTTGCTATCTTTTTGTTGGGCAGAATAGTTAAATCGATGGGGCGATTCTACGAAACTCTGAAATGGTCTGGTTCCTACATACTTAGCCATTAAAAATGTATATGTGCGCATTGGTGCTTAAACAGGAGAAAACGAACGAAGGGAAGCAATCTTACAGCTACAAGATAAGTTCATACACAATATACAAAAAGAATAATTTGTCGCAGATTTCGCTCAATAATTACAAACGATTTATCCATCCACGGCCACAAATTTTAAGAGATGAGTTACATGAGCGAGTAGAAACCATGATAAAGTCTGTAAATTGTTACAATAAAATATGTGTGCCATATCACGAATTTTAAATTAAACAGATAAACGTGGAAGTTTGCATATCTGCAGGTGAATTTTCACATGAGTAAGAAGATGTGTGAAGAAAAGATTTCGTAAAATTATTTTAGAGGATCTTCATCGAACCCCCGGATACAGCTCCCTCAAACGCTTTGGGTACAATCGAACCCAAGGTAAAAAAAAAACGCTATAGACAGTGCCGTACTCATTACATCATATTCACTGGTTAATAGTCCAGTTAGTGAGTTGTTCAGAATGATTGTTTTTATCTTTTACCGTTAAATTACGTTTTGTTGGGCAGAATAAGTAATAAAGTAATAAGTTCTGATCGTAAATTTTTAAGATAAAATAAGATAATTTTTTTGCGGAGAGATACGAAGAAAAAGTCTGCGGCTACGTTATTTCTGAGCACAATCTATAGTCCTAAATCAACGTTGATTTAAACGCAGTTTGTTAATTTAGCACACATAATATCTTGTGACCAGTGTAACACTTCTGTCGTGACTTCGCTATCTTTTTTCTATTTTATATTATTAAATAACCTTCGTTGTTTGCAAGGTACATACAAATAAAATAAAAATTGAAAAATATGTAACACGTGGTAAAAGGTTCAAGAGCACTATTTCAGTGTATTAGATTTGGATCTTTCGTACAAAGCCCTTGACACCAATGCAAAAATGTGATATTTAATAAAACCACTTGCGCCAAGTTTTAAAGTATTTATCTAGTTAGAGTAAATTTATATTTCCAGCGCAATCTGCATTTCTAATCCAAACCCCGACAGAATAATTACAGATTTATTATTCTGAACGATAGCGGGGTGTTTTGTTTTTACCGGTGGAGAGGGTGTACAGAAGATCCTTAAATTGATCCTAAATATGCAAATGAAATTGAAAGACTCAAATGATTTTGATTACATTTACATACTTGCTCTGCTGGCCAGACTCGATCGGCTTTCATCTTGCTCTGTGATAAATACCAGACAAATCACCACGACGAAATTCTTTTGATGAAATTGATGTACTGTTTCTCCAACGTTCAAGCAGTCTCTCAAAAGGCTGAAAATTAAAGTATTTTTAGATCATTCTAAAATTATCAGAGGTGTATTCAGCTTAGAATTGCGACGCAAAAAGAGTGAAAACCTCAAATCGTAAATTGATGAAATAAATAATTTTAAATTACGGTAGATATAATTGAAACTCGTCAATTCCCAACTTCCCAAAAACTTACAATTATTACTTATTTGGAATGATCACTTAGTGCAGTAATATTTAACGGGTTATACTATATACCCAAGTGTATACCAAATCAAACAAAAGGTATTATCGGTGGAGAGATATACAAAAAAAAACAGTACTTCCGAATTAGGCCATAATTTCTTGTACAAATACTACGGAAATACACTCGACTAGTCCCCGAACTCGAAATATAACTAAAATAGTATTGGAACAAAATTATGGTCTAACCTCAATCTGGTACACATACTACGTTACAGTGTCCGCCATATTGCTACACATACTTCGGGAGTACCGAAAAGTCTGTGGCTACGTTATTCGATAATTTCTAAGCAATAGCTATAGTTATAAATCAACGTCACTTTTTACGTTTTTTGTTAGCAGTAATTTAGAACACATAATATTTGCGACCAGAGTAAGAATTCTGTCATGACTTCACTAAACAACTTTTTTCTACTTTATATTATTAAATAACCTTTGCTATTTGCGAGGTACATACGAAAAAAATTTTGAAAAATATCGTCACGTTAATAACCGAATTGCGTAAGTCATTTTTGGCGGTTTTGAGTTTTTCATAAAACAGGTATTTATGTAATGCTGCGCACCTGGCTGTTAACTAAGATTTTATTTTAAGAATTCCGAAACCCATAAAAATAGAGATTTTGTATAATATGCAAATTTGTTCAATTGTTTCGTCATAATGAATTATCACTGTTAACGCAGGACTATTGTGACGTCACAAAGGCAAAATAACCTCGGCGAAGGATTTTCGAGTTTTTGCATCTCAGATTCTAGCTTAGCGCTTATAAATTTCAATTTATACTACAGTATAGAAAGGCGTGCACTTGTGATATTCACTGTCTGAATCCAATTCACCTTGGTTGGCTTTTATATAAGGGTACATCGCTGTTTTATTCTTCATATTTAACTTTAGTCTTATTTCGGTGGATGTGCAGAGCGTGTTGTATTGATGAAATATATATTTTAAACATAAAAAATAATGTAATTAAAACAGATTAGCTATTTTGGGGATTAGACTTCGTATATATTAAGAATTACATTCGTTTTTGGATTGTTTGGTTTTCAGGACTGGTACATATAGTCAAGTTGCAAAATTGCGTATGTCCCCTAGTCATAGACACATTTCTGCCTAAGTCACAGTGCGTCATTATGACGTCACATGAATGCGTCATACAAATTAACTTAAATCCGGCTACGATCAAAAAATTCAACCATGGCAAATTATTGACTCTCAATGGCATAGCAATTTCATTAGGAAGTTTTTTACGTTTTTCTCAAAACTGCTAAAAATGACTTACGCAATTCGGTTATTAGCGTGACGATATGTAACACGTAGTAAAAGATTTAAGAGCAATATTTTAGGGTATTAGATTGGGATCTTTTGTACAAAAACTTCGACACTAAGTTACAAATTAGTAACTATCTAGTCGGGGTTGAAACAAATTAAAAATTAATTATTTTCCTGCGCAATCCATAGGTGTTGCGCAAGAGATCCTTAGATTGAACCTAAATATGCAAATCAAACTGGGAAAAAACAAAATATTTCGATTACATACTTGCTCTGCATACTGGCCAGATTCGATAGGCTTTCATCTTGCTCAGTGATGAATACCAGACAAATGACGGGGATTTGATGAAATGATGTACTGTATTGCCAACTTTCAAGCAGTGTCTTAGAAAGCTGAAAATGAATGTATTCTAATTTCATTCTCAAATTATCAGTGACGTATATCGAGGGTATGGCAGATATAGCTACTACCATTGGCAATTCTGGATTGCGGCGCAAAAAGAATGAAAAGTTCTAATCGTAACTTGTTACAATAAAATATTTGTGCCATATCACGAATTTCAAATTAGACAGATAATCGTGGAAGCAGGACTATTGTGACGTCACAAAGGCAAAATAACCTCGGCGAAGTATTTCCGAGTTTTTGCATCTCGGATTCTAGTTTAGCGCGTATTAATTTGAATTTATACTACAGAATAGGAAGACGTGCACTTGTGATATTCACTGTCCGAGTCCAATTCAAGTTGGTTGGCTTTTATATTAGGTGCATTGCTGTTTTATTCTTTATATTTAAACTTAGTCTTATTTCGGTGGGTGTGCAGAGCGTGTTATATTGATGATATATAGAATTTTAAACATAAAAAATAATGTAATTGAAACTGATTAGCTATTTTTGGGATTAGACATTGTAGATACTGAGAATTACATTCGTTTTTGGAATGTTTAGTTTTCAGGACTGGTGCATATAGTAAAGTTGCAAAATTGCGTATGTCCCCAAGTCATAGACACATTTTTGCCTAAGTCACAGTGCGCCATTATGACGTCACTTAACTGCGTCATACAAATTAACTTAAATACAGTCACATCAAAAAATTGAACCATGGCAAATTATTGACTCTCAATGGCATAACAATATCATTGGGAAGTTTTTTACGTTTTTCTCAAAACTGCTAAAAATGACTTACGCAATTCGGTGATTAGCATGACGATATGTAACACGTAGTAAAAGTTTCAAGGGCACTATTTTAGTGTATTAGATTTGATCTTTTGTACAAAGCCATTAACACCAATGCAAAAATGTGATATTTGATAAAACCACTTGCGCCAAATTTTAAAAATAAATAATTATCTAGTTAGTTTTTAATTAATTAATTTTAACGTTAGCGGGGGTGTTTTGTTTTTACCGGGGGAGAAGGTGTGCAAAAGATACCTAATTGATCCTAAATATGCAAATGAAATTGAAAGACTCAAAAGATTTCGATTACATACTTGCTTTGCCGGCCAGACTCGATGGGCTTCCATCTTGATCAGTGATGAATATCAGACTAATGACCACGACGAAATTCTTTTGATGAAATTCATGTACTGTCTTTCTAACGTTCAAGCAGTCTCTAAAAGGCTGAAAATCAATGTATTTTTAGTTCATTCTAAAATTATCAGAGGTGTATTTAACTTAGGATTGCGACGCAAAAAGAGTGAAAATCTCAAATTAAATCGTTGATAAAATAAATAATTATAAATTAGATATATATAATTGAAAATCGTATTGTTCCTAAACAGCTAAACGTGGAAGTTTGGGTATCTGTGGTGGAATATAGAAAATTTTACATAAGTAAAAAACTGGGTAATGGAAAGACTTCATGGCATCAAATTATTTCAGAGGATCTTCATAGAACACCTGGAACAGATCGACCCCAGGGGTTCGGTTAAATCAAACCCAGTTTAAAAAACACGATATCGACAGTGTCGTGCTCATTACGCCATATTCATTCGTTATTGTTCCAGTAAGGGTTGTTTAGAATGATTACTGCTACTTTTTAACGCTAAATTACGGGTATGTTGAGCAGAATAGTCAACTCTATGGTGCGATTCTACAAATGAAAATGGTCTGGTTCTAACAGACTTTCCATAGAAAATTTATAGGCGCGCGTTGTTGCTCAAACTATAGAAAAGACGATAAAATGAATGCAATTTTTTTGCTATAAGATAAGCATATACTCAATATATAGGAATAAAATTCGAAGCAGATTTCCCAAAAAATTACAAATATTACTTTGTGGAATGATCTTTTAGTGCAGAGATATTTAACCGGATATACTATATACCCAAATGTACACCAAATCAGATCCCGGGTAAAACAAGAATTATTATAGGCGGAGAGATATACAAACGAGATAGCGATCGGAAACCGCCGACTTATCGATATTCCGCACGTTCAATATTTTACTGGACAATTTTGGCGGAGTACGATTTCACATGATTTATTCTCGCAAATTGTGCTTTATTGGTTGGCCACATTCTGAATAAAATTTATCCTACTGAAACACAAAGAACTGGATTGTTTTGATCAGTTTTCAGCCAATAGCCAATTTACCACCGAAAATGGCTAACGCCAACTATCCTATATTTTGTGTCAAGTACAACGGCGCTAACCGCAATTGCGACGGCTATTCAGCCACAGCCAAGCGATAGTTTGGTGAAGAATTAGAATTGGTTTCAGCCAATAGCCTATGCCCTAGGCCAGGGGTGGGCAACCTTTTTCGACTCGCGTGCCAAAATTGGCTAAATTTAACGACAAAATTTTCTCCCGTGCCGACCAAAATTAAAAACAATGCTTTGCTACTTTCAAAGCAAAAATACACAATAATAAACCTCTTAAACATGTACAGACAGATTCACTTTTCGGGAAAATATCAGTCCGAAATAGATCCGATTACTTTTCCTATTCTATATCAGTCAAGACTTCTACTGCTGCATTACCGCTGATAAAGATTTTACATTTGGTTTATATTTTGTAAATTTCAAAGGAATACACGAACTACTGGTTTCATCTTTCAGGCTACTCCTATTACGAGACTTAATGGTGTTCATAACCGAGCACAGAGATTCACAAGCATATGTAAATGAAAACATGGAGAGTAATGCAGTTGCAAAATTTTTGAGAAATGGAAAATTTCGGGAATGGCATCCCAATCACGCAATAGTTCGTTTTCTCCACTTCTATTCCCTTCCCTAATCGCTGATATTCCTTACGAAATCAATTCATAACAGTTCATTCATAACGCGCGGGCCACTCGGAAACCTTCGGCGGGCCACGGGTTGGACGACTCTGGTATAGCCAAATGAATGCTGCGCTCTTCTCGACAAAATTTCTCGAATGCCCATTCATTTGTTATGTCATAATAAATTTCTTTGTAGCCATAGGTCATGAAAGGACAAAATGAATTTAAATAAAGAACGGATCATTAACAAACTATATATAATGAATGAACGAGTTTCATCAGATAATTCAAAGGCTCGAAACTTTTTATCTAAATGAGAATGATCTCGTTTCTGAGGCCTTGCTTGCGTGCCGAATAAATGGGCTCGCGTGCCAAGTTTGGCACGCGTGCCAGGGGTTGCCCACCCCTGCCCTAGGCCCTATGGCAGGGCTGGGCAATTATTTTTGCTATCGGGCCACATTGGATATTCAAAATGCAGTGGCGGGCCGGACTAAGTGAAGCCAATTGTGCGTTTTTAATGCATTTCATTACACATTTAAATAAAAAAAAGTACAACTGTACTCCGTTGTTTTTATTTAAAGCACAGTTATTAAAACTAGTTTAAAACATAAATATCGCGATTTCGAGACACTACATAGGATCAGAAAAACGCTTGCAAAACAATGCCGAATTTTATCATTAATGCTAAAGAGTGAGTAACTATGCGGAATTAAGACCATGCCTTCGATGACCAAACATTCGTGATTCATATAACTTTGTTGTCACCATAGCATTTTTAACGTAAACAGGGGTCGCTGAAAATTTTAATGCATTGGAAGGCGTTGCGAGCTTAAAAGTTTGGAATGCACTGCTCTAGAATACAACGTCTATCTGCGTATATATATAAAAATGTGAAATAAACTGCCGGAATATACTTAATTTTGATACCTATTTTTGCGATACGGGTATATTTAAAATGCATTGATATGGGCACATTAAAATGTCTTGCTTTGTTGTTTTACACTTAACCCGCGATTGCATTAACAAAATATAATCATTCCTACTCTTAAATATCACCGCATGCCGCGGATATAAAAATGTGAGATGAAGTGCCGGATTACTTTTATTCGTGTTTTGCGATTTTGTGAAATCAACAAAGGGATTTGTTCTTGCAACAATGACTTGGCTCTATTTTACAGATTTCACCAATAGAAAAATCCCTACGTCTGCGATAAAGCCACACTGAGTAAAATTCAATTTAGTACCATGAAAATCGGTTGAATTTACTTCGTGCCATGGGCACCAGAAAATTTTCAGTTTCCAATTTCTACAATTAATCTGTCGCAAGCCTTCCAAATCAATCTTGTTTCTGTCCAGTTTTTAGTATTTTATCAGTTCCGTATGCAAGACATATATATATATATTTATATGTTGAAGGTAATTTGTGATTTGAGTAGAATAATCACCGACGTAAAGGTGTTTACGGTCCAAATAACATCTCGAGCTGACGAAAACAATCGGTCATTTAAAAAAAGTCGAATGGTATTGCCGACTTTTTCATTTTCCTAAAAAATTCTTTTGTTTACAGTTAAAGTATATTTTATATGTAAATAAAAAAGAAAGTGTCCACATCTAGAAACCTGCTCGCGGGCCGGATGAAACGTTGCCGCGGGCCGGATGTGGCCCGCGGGCCGCAACTTGCCCAGGCCTGCCCTATGGCGAACGTCGACTATCCTATAGCTCTATAGTTTGTGTCAAATGCAAAGATGGAATGAATACGAAGGATGGATCCGAATTGGCTTTATACAACGATTCCATTTCAGTGGTGTCGAAGCGGCGTGTAACCAAAATACCTAAACGACAGACAGACAGACAAACAGACAAATACCTATCAACATACTTATCCATTAAAATCGTTAAAAAGTAAAAAATCACTACTCCCGAAGTAGTCCATAATTTCTGGTACAAATACTACGGAAGTCACTCGGATAGTCCCCGACCTTGTAATAGAACTAAAATAAGTATTGGAACAATATTATGGCCTAACCCTAACCTGGTACACATACTAAGTTCCGGTGTCCGCCATCTTAGGGCAAATACTTCGGGAGTACCGAAAAGTCTGCGGCTACGTTATTCACTAATTTCTAAGAAAAAGCTATATTTTTACGTTTTTTGTTAGCAGTAATTTAGCACACATAATATCTTGTGACAAGAGTTAGACTCCTGTAATGATTTCACTAAACAACTCCTTTTTACAATTTAGAATAATAAATAACCTTTGTTATTTGCAAGGTATATACGAAGAAAATAAAAATTGAAAAATATGCAACACGTAGTAAAAGTTTCAAGAGCACTATTTTAGTGTATTAGATTGGGATCTTTCGTACAAAAACTTCGACACTGAAGCAAAAATGTGAGACTCAATAAAAACACATAGGTGAAGTTTTAAATTAGTAACTATCTAGTTAGGGTTAAAAACAAATTGAATTTTTTAATTTCCATCGCAATCGATAGGGGTTGTGCAAAAGATCCTTAGATTGAACCTAAATATGCAAATTATATTAAAAGAATCAAAAAATTTGGATTACATACTTGCTTTGCTGACCAGACTCGATAGGCTTCTATCTCAATCAGTGATGAATACCAGGCACATGACGAGGAATTCTTTTGATGAAATGATGTACTCTGTCTTGCTAACTTTCAATCATTGTGGGGGAAAGCTGAAAATAAATTTATTTTTAGTTTATGCTCAAATTATCAGTAGCGTATCTAGGGTATGACAGCTATAGCTCCTACCATTGGAGACTTAGGATTGCGGTACAAAAAGAGTGAAAAGTTTTAATCCCAAATTGTTAAAATAAATAATTTCTGCCTTATCACGAATTCAAAATTACGGTCGGTAAGTAGTTAAACGTGGATGTTTGCATATCTGCATATAGTACATTTTACATAAGTAAAAAGCTGGGTAAAGGAAAGATTTCGTAAAATTATTTCAGAGGATCTCAGGTTTGGTTTAATCAAACCCAGTTAAAAAACACCGTTATAGACAGTGCCGTGCTCATTACGTCATATTCACGCATTATTGCTCCAGTTAAAGGGTTGTTTAGAATGGTTGTTGCTACCTTTTTAACGCTAGATTACGGGTATCAAGGCGCGACTCGACAAAAAAAATGGTCTGGTTCTAACAGATTTGATTTGGCCTTAAATAATTATGAGCGCGCATTGGGGCTCAAACTAGCGAAAAGGGGAACGAAGAAATGCAATTTTCTGCTATAAGATAAGCTTATACTAAATATACAAAAAAGATAATTTGTCGCAGATTTCCACAAAAATTGCCAACTTTGAGAATTTTTTTAGTGCAGTTATATTTAACCGGATATACCATAAATAGGCAGGAGTATACCAAGATAGATCCCGGCTATACAAATAGCAATTGGCATACGATGGTACACTAGAGCTATAGCCTGACTCAAATAATCAAATTTACCGGTCCGTTTTGTGTTTTTGAACGCGCACAGGTCCCGTTCAACATCGGGCTCAATAATTTATGAAGTATTTGTCTGTCCACGCCACGAAATTTCCGAGTACAAGCTTTAGTTACAAATCAAAGTCGATTTTTCCCTTTTTTATAATATTATGTGACCAGCGTAAGACTTCTATCATGACTTCACCAAACAACTTTTTCTGCACTCTTTTATTAAATAATCTTTGTTATTTGCGAGGTATATACGATGAAAATAAAAATTGAACAAGGTGTAACATGTAGTAAAAGGTCGAACAGTGCTATTTTAGCATATTAGATTGGAATATTTTGTAAAAAGCACTCGACAATAATGCAAAAATAGGCGCTACTGAAGTATGCGTACCAAGATGGCGGACACCATAACATGTATGTGTACCAGGTTAGGGTTAGGCCATAATTTTAGTTACAAATACTACGGGAATCACATGGCTAGAACTCCTAAAAGAACTAAAATAAGGAAAATTGCAATAAAATCATAGCCTAACCCTAACCTGGTACACATACTGCGTTCCGGTGTCCGCCATGGTACGTGTACTTCAGGAGTACCCCAAAATATGAGATTTGATAAAAACACCTCCGCCAAGTTTTAAAATAACAAATGAGTAACTAGTTAGGATCAGGAACGAATTTAAAATTTGAATGTCCAGCGCATTCTTCATTCTCGACCCAAACCTAAGCGAGTAGTTAATAATTTCCTTATTTTGAGGGTTTGTGTGAGTGTTTTGTTTTTGACCGGGGGATTTGTTCAACCAACCAACGATCCTTAGATTGAACCTAATTATACGATTAAAATTAAAATATTTTGATTACATACTTGCTTTGCTGGTCAGACTCGATAGGCTTCTATCTCACTCAGACGAATTTCTCTTATTGATGAAGTAGTATACTGCCTTGTCAACTTTCAACAAGTGTTTAAGAAAGCTGAAAATAAATGTATGTGACATGGTCGTCGTATTTTCACCAAAATAATAACGTACAAGTATTTCAATTCAACAACAGCCCTTCAAAATTGTGATTCAACCATCAAGGGGCGCATTTAAAAATTTTGCGTAGATAAATCCCTGCAAATAATTCAGAGATTTCCCCTAAATTTATGAAATATTACTTATTTGGAATGATCTGTCAGTACATTGAGTTGCACCTCATCTTGTAAATGACGACTAAACTAGTAACAATTATGTTATAATTCACCTTTTTATGAAAATCCTTTCTACAGTCACAGATATCTGCAGACATTTAACTTCATAAGATACTACTCGCAGTTTTCGAAATATATAACGGAGTACAATTATTATGACAAGAAACTGTCCAGTGGCAATGACGCTTTTATAACTTTTTATGGAATATATGAGGTGTTACTTCTGTTAAGTATGTGGCATTACCATATTGATTACGAGAATCCATGGATGTCGTGTCGAAAAGTCGAATAAAATGTATAAATATTACCTGTAGATTTTTACTCGGTTTCGTTACATCGTGTCTTCGCATCTTCAATTACAACATCAACAACAATTCTGCATCTGAAAAGTTAAGATATTAATAATAAATTGTTGCAGAACTTTCTAATGCGGGAATGGGAATACGCCTAACCACAATAACTAAAATATAAAAGTAAAAGCCAAGTATATATAAATCCATGAATTTGGTGTCATATTTGAGGTTTCGAAAGTTATCTATATTTCATTGATGTCAAGCGTGCCATGTGAAATGCAGCTTACGTAGTGACTTATATCGGGCGCGACATAAAAAGTGTGAGAATCACTGAATTCTAGTATATATATAATATGCGAGGACTCCTGAGAAAATATCGAATATCTGATGAATGAAACAGCAGAGCTATTCTATTACCTTTGTATCTTTCGCTAACTCGTCAATTTAGAATAAGTCTCAGGTATGTTTAGATTTTTAGTTCATATTCAAAATAATAGGAAATTGTAATTTCAACCAAAAAGATTTAGAAATCAGTTTATGAAAAGCAATACGTACAAAAATTGAGATAGTAAGCAACAACATTAACCAAATCAATAAAAATATAGAGTTTTAGGGAAACCATATAACAGCTTTACAAACACTTGTTAATATTTAGCTCACCTGAATATTGTTCCAAAGAGACAAACCGATAAGGAGTAATATTCCGGCACCAACCACACACAAAATCGACCGCACTCCATCATGTAAATTTGCTACTGAGGCGTTGTCGTCGCTTGTGCTTCCTTCCCGCGCGAAGAGTGGACGAAAACGCTAATTAGTCCATTGTAATTAAACGTTTTTAATTAGTCCCGTTATTTCAGGATCCAACAACCCTGGATCGCTAGGAGCGGATCACGCTTCTGACACGTGATCACAAAACATAAACAATGCAGATGACATTTGGTATTTGCTTAATATTACTTGTGATTGTTTGAATGCCCAATTTACACTAATTTCTCCGTCCAAACCAAACGTTGGAGACATAACATACATAGCAATATAATCGAGTTACATGTGAAAATCCTGTTTAATTTCTCAGACCGATGGTAACAATTGATATAGACTCGATTTAGCGCAGAGCTAGCCCAAACTGGAGTTGCGACACCGCAGGTGAGACGCAACAACGAAGTTTTGGGGTTGCACAGAATACTCGAATTTATCGGACACTCGTACTACCGGAATATCTAATGTGAATTTTATACTTTTGATTCAAAACACAACTATTAAAACTAATGAAACGTATAAATTCCACTATTTTAAAACATTGCATAGAATCAGAGAAGCGCTGGGCTTGCATCGAACTGTAAAGGTTTTGGAAGCCAAGATTTAGCCAACTTTTCAATCAGTGATTCGTGAGCTTTTCGAGCCATCAGAGAACCCTTTTATTACTCAGGGAATTTCGTCAAACCCAAAAGTTTTGAACGGTTGGAACCAGGGGTGCAACCAGAACCTCGTAGGGGGAGTGAATTTTGTGCAAGGTATAGAACAGAGGTGGGTACCTTTTTCGGCTTGCGTGCCAAAATCGGCTAAATTTTTTCGCGTGCCGACAAAAATTAAAAGAAGTGCTTTGCTACTTCAAAGCAAAAATACACAATAATATCCCCTTTAAACATGCACAAACAGATTCACTATTCGGAAAAATATCAGTCCGACAAATATATGTGATTACTTTTCTTATTCTATATATAACAGTGAGACTTCTACTGCTGCATTACCGCTGGTAGAGATCGGACATTGGGTTTATATTTTGTAACTTTCAAAGAAATACACGACATACTGGTTTCATGTTTTAGGCTACTTCTGTTACGAGACTAAATAAAGTTCATAGCTGAGAACAGAGATCCACAAGTTTATGTAGAATAAAACACTGACAGTAATTTATTTTAAAGTTTTTCCCTATACGGTAGAATTATTTTATTTTTTGATATTTGTAAGATATTTTACAATATATTATATTATATTAATTTTATGGTGAACGAGTTATTAGAATATTTTCAATTGAGTGTTGTATTTCAACACAAAACACCGTTGTCGGGAAATATGGATATCGTTGGACATAGGTAGATTTCGGTTTTATTTTAAAGGGTTTCCCTACGGTAAATTTTTTTTTTATCTTTTGATAATTGTAAGATAATTTACTATATATTATGATATATTAATTTTATGGTGAACAAGTTATTAGAATATTTTCAATTATGTGTTGGATTTCGACATAAAACACCGTTGTCGGGAAATATTGATATCATTCGAGAGATCTAATTTTGGGTTTTATTTTAAAATCGTTCCCGACGGTAGAATTTTTTCATTTGCTGATAATTTTTAGAAGAAGTACTATGTAATATGACTATTTAATTTTTTGAGGAACAAAGGTTAGGATCAATTTCAATTTATATTTGAAATTTGACGTGAAACACCATTACCGCGAAATATTGATATCGGTCGAGTGTGCTGATTGTAACTTTAAATTTAAAGTCTTTCTCTGCGGTAGAATTTTTTGAAATTTGTAAGATCATATACTGTATAATATGATAATTTATTTCCGTGATAAACAACTCGTTGAATCCTTTTTGATGAACTGTTGAATTTCGACATCAAAAGCCATCTAGACAATGTGTATCTGCTGGTGTAATGTTTTTATCATGTTTATTTTTTATTTTACAAGATCTATTTGTGCAAATCAGGTATGGTTTATTCCAGGGGCGTAGCCAGAAATTTTCAAAGGGGGGGTTCCAAAAATTTTATTTGTCAGGTTAGATCCGAACTGCTAGCGGGGCCAATCAAACGCTGGATTAATGTTTTTTTTTACATCTCAAAAGCGGGAGGGTCGACCCGCAAAACCACCCCCCTGGCTACGCCACTGGTTTATTCATAACTACATTTTTATTCATAAAAAGAACAAGCACTTAGCTCAGATTTTAATTTTCCTATTTTTTAGATCCGACGGTAAATTTCAGCTTGTTTATCGTCATTTCTGGCAACACTGGTTAGAGATATTATTGTCAAGTTGATTTTGATTCATTTTCCCGACAAATGTGGCCATTTTGTGCCATCAATTGGCCGACTCTGAGAGGTTCTGGTGCTGATTCAAATGTGGATATATGTAATTTAGTAATCTGTGAGCGTTTAGGATGCCTTAACTTACCGTATAACACTGTCAGAACGCCAGCCCACACTCGTGTGACGCTAGCCCACACTCATTTTTGTCAGGCCATACTAGGGGTAACTGGGCCGTGCTTGGTATTGCATTTACGTTGTATATATCAGATATGGTCTCTTTATTGTCAGAGCCACCAAATTTTTATGTAATAACGTTTATAAAGCCATTAAAATAGTTAGTTAACCCGTTGACGTCAGGCTGAGTGTGGGCTGAACGAGTGTGGGTTGTGGGCTGGGGTAACTTTGGTCGCTTCTCGATAACACCGAACTCACTACCGCGACTGAAACAGTATTTTGTCTTATAGTACCACCATGTGGTAACACCAAGCCTTCGACATTGAACCTGGGATTCTTTGGCCTGGAATCTCCAAACTGAATTTAAAATAGACAACAAATTTATTTCTTCATGCAAAAAATCACAAATTATTTATATTCAGGGACGAAGTATTATATAATAGAATACCGGACTTCATTACAATTGACAGGAGGTCGAGAGGAAATATCTGGTTCAGGATTTCTAATGAATAATCCCGAGATTTTTCGGGGCTACTAACACTTGAACAAGAGCGCATCAATCGTAAATATATACTAATACGCATCAATGCCTAATTATGCAGGCATGAAACCGCGAGTTCAGTCATTTTACAAACTAAGACACATTTTGAATTTTAAACGCTGAAAGTAGTTTATTGTAGTCTGTTATTCAGGTCGCCTCGACTGTAACTTTTTCTTCCTATATTTTTTGCTAATTTTTTTGACTTTTTTATGCTATTATAAAAAAAAGATTACTGTTGGGTTTTTTCACGGGTGTCGCTGCTCGATAACCAGTCTTGGTTTCTCGCGACTCTTTTTCACCTTGACTTATCAGTTTCGCCTCTTTTTAGATTTTGTATTCATTAGTGTACGCCTGTACGGTATTTCATGTATGGTGGATAAAATAAACTACCGATTACTGTTACACTCGCAAACGCGATTATTAGTTGGGGATCATTAGCTAAATCTTCATTACAGTCAATCCAAGTTTTACATTATAAAGTACTAAGTCCATGTCGTTTGGTGATAAAATGGTCCACTGGTACCATTTTTTTGTTTTATATACAGTATATGGTAAGCCTACTTATACTTGCCTAATGCACGCTGCGCCTCGATTATTTTATGGGATCAAAATCCTACAATATTATATTGTTGTGATGCGCTGTTTCGGAGCATTTAAATTCTTGCCCAATGTAAGCCGTTCATCTGGGACATTGTATGCGTTATCTAACTACGGGGTGTTTGCTTGTCTACAAAATCGTTGCAGGCTATATTTATGCAAATAATACGACATCCGGCTAATATCGCAGTTATATCGTAAATAATAGTGTTCTAACTTCAGTTTACTTTTTCACAATGTTCTCAGCATATACGAATAATTGTAATAAAAAACAGTGAACATATCTTGTTTTTCACTTCAAGTTTACTCAACACAAAATACAAATCAAATAAAAAACTAGTAATTCTGATATAGAGCTGCGAAGGAGAACGTAAGATCCCTAGAACCGTGAATTAAGAGAGACATTTCCACCTTTGAAGCCAAAATGTCCAGTCAAATACGCGAAGTCAAATTTGCCTCTAATTCAGAGTAGGACGTAACTTGAAAAGGCAAATATGAAAGTGAAAATTATCGAAACTTACGAAAAACTGCGGCCATAGCGATTCTCAGTGATGTTAGCCAATATAGAAATTCGTTTGACAAGGATTCATAACGTAACAATATTTCCTTATTAGTGCTGTGTTGTGATTGAAAAAAGACAAAATGTCCAGTAAGGTTGATTAAGAATGGCGAAAGTTTGACACTGAGTGGTGACTGAAATACTTCATAGTTCAACTTATTAATTTGTCAGAGCAGTCGACACTCTGGATGTTTCCCCGACCTTGGATTTCCTTGTTTATTTCCGTAGCGAAGACCAACCAGCAAAGTGGCCCACAATGACGTAACAACTACAGTTGGTGAAGTCGCTCAGACACTTCTTACGCTCAGACAGTATTCAAGCGCGGTTTTAAACATTGCTTCGTTTCCGTGGTTTTACGTGTTATTTGTCAGTTTTCTGTTGTGTTCCTAAAAATTAGTTGTAAACTAATTTAATTATCATTATGCCTTCTGAGAAGCTTTAGTTTAGTTGCAATGATCATAAATTAGTCCCAAAAAAACTGCGATAGACTGGTTAAAAATTAGCTATCAGCACTTGTTGTAAGCGGCACGCGGTTGAATATTTCAATAAAACTGATGGTTTTGAACACGTAAACCAGTTTGTGAGCCCCAACTCTACAAAAAAAAGTATCAAAAGTTTTTTACTAGTAAAGTTTAAGGAGAATTTTTCTGGGGTCAAGGGTCTGGGAAAAAATTCATTGTACCAAACTCTCTGTTTGTTACGATAGCATTGTGAATAAGTTACGACTTAGCCAGCGAAAAGTGTCTCCGGATAAGAAATATTCAGCGGTCTTTCTCGTTTAACAGTTGCTCGTCGAATGTACGATCTTTCGGAAGATATTCGAGGGAAACAAAGTTACAAGCGATCGTCGATCACAAACAAGCCCATCATGGAAGTGATTTCATATTTTTACGAGAGCTATGTGTTTAGAGATAGACATTACAAAAATCTGGAAAATTATGCGGCTCATTTACCGCTGTAAGCAGTTTCTTAAAAATGATTCTGTGCACAACAAAATTCAGGAATCGGCTCGTAGACTTTTAATCTCAACTTCGAGTTGCTGAAAACTATAAGTTTTTCGATGGTACAGTCCTCAGCGTCAACCTAATTTTATCTTGTGGCCTATTGCAATAAACCGTTGCACGCCTCTGTCCAAGACATGATGTGGCATTCGATTGGGCCACGTGAACTCTTCTGCACAAGATAACTGATCCCAGTCAAAATTACTCCATAGATCAGTGGTTCTTAAAGTATGGGTCGCGACCCAAACATGGGTCGCGGAAGGTTTAAAAGTGGGTCGCGACAAGGTCGTCAATGCAAGGGCAATCTAAGAGGAGAAGGAAGAAATATCAGCTTTCCCAATGTTTAAATTTAGCTTCTAAACTCTGGTATTTAAAACTGATGGAATATAAAGTTTCATTCACGGAAAGAACTGTCTTGAGCTCATTGTTACATCACAATTCTGATATGCCAGTCACGTGTATTATTTTATGGCATTGGTAACCATGCACGTCGCTTGTCGTTGTGTTGACCTCGCGGAATTTCGTCTTAGTGGATTAAAATAACTAAAAACGGGTGTCTTTTTGGTAATGTAAATTGTAATAGACGACGCAATGAAAAAACTCGCATCTCAACATTAAATTATTCAATATCTAGAGAAAATGTGACTTCATCTCGAGTCACCATTTACCGCGAACGAAGCAGTGTGTGCACATTTGATGAGTAAAAAGTTGTATATTGCGAGAGATATCAAAAGCCAGCTAGGATGTCGTGTTTGCGACGGACAGCGGACGTGGTTTCTGCTACAATTCGCGACAAGGCACTTGTTCGAGCGAGGATTTTTGGCACTGACGGTTATTAAAACTACGCGCGCAATCGCATCGATTCCCGTGACAACTTGCGTATTGCGCTCAGTAAAATAGAGCTGTGTATTGAATATATATTGAAAAGAAAATTTCGGTTTCATCAATCTCACTGAGTCAATGGCCTGTTTCTAATAAATAGTTGTCTGTATTTGAGTCAAACTGTACTAACATTAAAAACACATTTTGCGTTATTTAGGATTGGGTCGCGAGTATTCGTGAAACTCAGATTTGGGTCGCGCTCAAAAAAGTTTAAGAACCACTGCCATAGATGATAACGCCGTTCAGGCGTCTTTGACAATTTACTAATCAGACAACCCACTGTGTAGTCACAAAATGTTTTTGTGTAAGTTTTCAAAATCTGAGATGATGAGAGTATTATATATAGCCTAGGCTATAACTTGCAGACTCAAATCCACTCCACCTGAAATCGCTGCACATGTGGAAACGCATAATTCTTTGCCGTGCTGATTTATGCCCGACGCTGTTACGAAGGGTGTCGTGTAAATTGGGCGCTCCAGAAGTTTGTGTACCAATATGGAGGTACGAATTTTGTTCGCCTACTTTACACCAAGTTGTGTAAACGGAACGGAAATCTATGGGCAGGGGGTATATTCACTTGGCTAACACAGACAGTTCCCGAACTCGTAATACAAAATAAAATAAGGAAAATTGGAATAAAATTATGGCCTAACCCTAACCTGGTACACTCACTACGGGAGTATACCGTAAATTGTCGCAGTATATTCTAGTGAAACCGCGCTAATTCAGTGACCGGTCGATCACGTTAGAGAAGTGGTCAGGCTAGCATATTCACAAATTTTGCCATTGCAGTGATGCCAGTCCTAATTCTAAATTCGTTACCACTTTTCAACACCTGGCGAAGTATCTCATGAGCGAGGTCTATGGCGTTAATTTTCAATGGGCACACTGAAATGCCGAAAACCAGCCAAATTAGTTGCGCGTGGTATTTTTTGACTACGGGTTCATTCAATCAGTACTCCGCACTCAGATCCCAGACCCTAGGGCAATCCGAGAGGTGAGTTTGTGATTTTTCATATTTATTCAATTTGCTCAGTTTATAGGGTTTTGCTCAATCATCATAAAAATAATTTTAAATAGTAGCAATAATAATGATAAAAAGAACGATATCAAAAAGAGAACAAAATATCCAAGACACTGTTAATCGAAAGTATCGGAGATGAATAGTACTAGCGGAAGATTTGTGGGATATGTAACTCATTGAAATTGGGAATAGTGAGATATCAAAAATTTCATTGATATTTCATACCAATTATGAAGATTACAAGATGCCTGATGAATCCCTGTTCAGTTTGAAACCAGCAAGAAGCCGATGCTATATCGCGCCAAAACAGAAGTGGATAAAATCTGCATTGAACTTGTCAATGTGGGTAAATGTTTTTCAGTTCGGTAACTTTGATCTCACCAGCGCACAATCACTTTCTTATCTTGCAACAATTTTAGGTAAAAAATAACAGTTTCCATTGTGTCATGGTAAATGTAAAGTACAAAAGAGAATTAAAAATAATAAAGGCAATACAAATTAACCGAAACGTCAGCAACTTCATAATAAAACATAATATAAATCTAGTATTGCTGAAGATGTTCAATTTTAAATAAGTATGATATTCTGGCATGTAGCATTACGTTGTTATTGAACTGTCCATTCAATACCTAGCTTCCTTGGATCAAAGCCTATACATTGTGTATTGAGAAATTGTGCCAGCTCAGGCTGGGCCTGTGTCCTGATGTGGTGGGGTTGTATCAGTTGGTGTGGTCCTGGAGCTGCAAGTTGTTGGGAATATGTAGGTGTAAAAGCCTGACCTCCTGTGCCAACAAAAACGACTTCCCTCGTTTGTAAAATACTTCCATCAGGGGCAATAAATGCAGTCTGTTTCAAATGTGTTGGGGCATTTTGAGCCAAAACTGTTGGATGAATGGCAGAAGGCTGGGCAGCTATAGGTAATGTTGACGCAGAAGAATTGGAAATAGGCGCCGGTATTAGAAGTGGTGACGTCTGGTTAGGTATGGTCTTCAGTGATAACCTCTGAAAAAAGATTGAAAATAGAATGAATAAAAAACAATATTTCCAAATTCCAACGTTTTCATGAAATAGCTTAAGTTATCAAAATAGTCCGTGGTGTATAATTTCCGTATGAACCGTTTTGTGATATTTTTGTTCCATTTTATATATAAAAGCTTCGATAATGTTTTGCTAAGCACTAACGTAAACGACCTTCCTGGTATGACGATATGTATTCTAAGTACAGGTTAAGCTTAGTACCTATTTTGCATTCATTTTAAGCAAACTCGTGTTCACTCACGACACGATTTAAATTGTTCACAGTTTTACTATATGGCGTAACAATGGTATACAATTGTTCGATTGTTTCCTCTTCAAATGTACACTCTTGCAACAGTCACGTTAGCGAAGCTGGTTCCAGCGTCGACATTTGATCAACAGAATATACATGGCTTTTATAATCATGCGCGAAAAAGTTGACGATGGAAGTTATTTCTTTACAAGCAGTGTATATTTTTTACTCAAATTTCAAATAATTCTGAGATAAGTTACCAAATGAGCAGCAGAACGTAATAACGCGTGTTGCGTCCTTTCGTATGGAGTCCATCTCGGTTTTGGAGGTCTTCCTTCTAACATGTTTTTATGCCTTTGACTTGACAAATGCTAAAATGAAAAATAAAACAAAGATGAAATACTAATAAATAACCAAACTCAAACAAAATGTATATACCACGGACTATAGACCGCTATAACCAGTCCATTTCGGGTATGAGATAAACAGATTTTGGTAAGCTGTGTGGAAACTGGATGAAAGTCAAATCGACCAGTGTCTCTGTCAGCCCTGCGACAGCGGGATATCAACTTGTTCCCAACGCCACCACCTGGCCCAACCGTCGAGTTTCTATTGGAAGTTCGATGTTACCTGACTATAATAAGTAGCACGGTAATTACCTAAATGGAACACAGATTATGTGCACTTATCGTAATAAAAACTAATGTTGATTTACCTGCAATAATTGTATATCTGAGTTCAGAGTAACTTTGCAAACTTCACAGCGGAATTGTTCCTGGAAAATAAAACAATGCAAATATATTAAACCATAAGCTTTACAGAAATATTTGTTATAAAAATGTTAATAGTTCATTATAGGTCGAGCGGAATTTATCAATACTGGTTTTTGGATATGCGTCTCTATTATGTAAACCAATGATTACGGTAGTTTAGCTCGGACCGAAGATAAATCGCATCATTAAGACCTGGATATCCTCTAGTCGTGCTCACTGTTATATAAATTAATAGTAGTTATTCATGAGTTATTTTTATTCTTCACGTGAGTTCGATTCGTGCATCCTTTCTGTGTTATAGTTGTTATGATTTTAATATAATGCTTTATTTTAAACATTTATTCAAACGTACTATAATCACAACCTGAACTGATTTGATTCTGAATAGCTGGTGTCGTACACAATTTATATACAAAGAATTGTTATACCCTTGCTACCCTTTGGCAATCAGGTAATGTGTATTCACACATAATACCATCGCTGCCTCACCACAGATAAATATTTTGATAGCAGATATACAAAATTCTTTCAACCACTGTAGACGCAACAGAAATGGAAGCATAATATGACTCCTATTTTCTACGATTTTACGAACCGGGTAAATAAAATTGGTATAAAGTTTCGAACTATGCAACAAAATTTGATAAAAAGACAATATGGAGTCAGATATTCTAAAATTCTTCTTTCACATTGAAACCGGTCTGAATGGTACTTACCGCTTTTGTTTTTGGTTTGTCCTCTTTAGTAGGCTTAGGTGGTGTAGGTATACCTTGTTCAATATTCTTGTGACGCAAGCTGTTTACATGTTGTTTCATTTGGTTCTCAGAGTTAACGTAAATATCACATACATTACATCTCAGGGATTCTTTTAAAACTGAAACAAGAATTGATCAACTGTAAGAGAAAGCCTATACAGACGCTCGCTTTAAGAATACGTGACACTTAGGATACCTTATCACATCTCGCAATAGAAAGGTCTATTGCAAGGAAGACCATTGATATTTCAAATTCTAGGAGGGAAGATACAAACCAATCATTTTTATTACCTGCGGGCCTTTCTATCCTTTTTATATAACTTGGTAATGGATCCGGCAATACTACTGGCTCTCGTTGTGGAAAAGCAGTCGTTTCAGAAAGCTTGCTTTCATCCTCTGTGCCATTGGCGACTTCGAGAATGCAGGAACTAGAAACAGGCTGTGATTCGGCACCACAGTTAATATTATGAATGCTTTCGCTTTCTTGTGGACTACTTTCATCACCGATGGTCATACATTGATTTTGATTTAAGTTTTCAGTCGTTTCCATTTTCGGTCCAGTTTGGATTTCGTTACTAGTTTCTTGACTATGATTAAAAACTGCTTGTGTCGTTGAATTATCCGCAGCATAGTAATTCTTATTAGTTGAAAAAGTAGGAACGTTTTTTATAATGTGACTCCCGGTGTATATATCGGTAATAGTTGTGCTTCCCACGTCTGCCATTTTAGGTCCAATTGCAACACTAGCTGTGTCACTTGTACTGACTGGGGTTTCTTCTTCTGAATTAGAAAAAGTATTCCAATTGCCTTTTTCGATAATTGCTATAGTTGAGTCTCGTAGTTTAGTTGGTGATACTTTAGTTTCTGAAAATATAAATACCAATTATTAAATATACTTATATTTAACTCGAAAAAATTTAATTCTTCGACAGCGATTGGTTATACAATGTAATACCAAATTTTAACAGGATTTTCCAAAACTTGTGGCCAAACTATATCTTGCTCAATAAAATGGTCGCTCCAGAAGTGTGTGTACCAATATGGAAGTAACTAATTTTGTTCGCCTATTTTACATCAAGTAGTGTGAAAGGACTGAAATGGACAGGGGGATATTTACTTGACTAACACAGACAGTCCCCGAACTCGTAATAGAACTAAAATAAGGAAAATCGGAATAAAATGATGCCCTAACTTGGTACACATACTACGGGAATACTATAAACTAATTTAGGAGTTATGCAATTTTCCAGTTTTTCTATGCCGTGAATTTAGAATTTGTGATTGCATACAATTACGGTAAAATATGATATCTGTTGCCAAATATGGTAACGCATCTCCAATTTAGCTAACCAGATACCGAGTGAAATTTCTCACATTGGTATTTCAAATTGTAATCATTTCACCATTTTTGCAAAAAAAAATAGAAAGTTCACTGGGAAAGCCAAGTAATCAACCAAAATCACCGATTGAATTTTTAAAACGTTTCATCCTATAATACACTATGACCATATTATGCTTTCATAAACATCATTATTCTCGACATTATATAAGTAATGTTGTCAATCGCATGTAGAATTAAAATAAAACTACTGTTTCATTGTATATTTGAAAGAGTGGAAAAATAACTTACATTATTAAATAAAATAAAATTATTGAAATAATCTTGATTTCTCCCTTTGTAATATTTGAGCTTTAAAATGCGATAATAATGCACCTATATTGCGCAAATGTATTCGCGTCACTCAGCACGCGATAGGTATTGATTAAACTGACAAAATTTTTATGTTAATATATTTCGGTTGCAAACGAGCCTTGTAAAATGGAGTGAAATCCTACACACGCAATATGGTGAAACATGATTCTTCGATCTTATTGCCTACTATACAACTAAAAAAAATGTAAAATTCATTTTTTTTGTTGGGCTTAGTCTATTTAATCAGAATATCTAATCAAAACAGAACAATTACATCTAAAATGGTTATAGTAAAAAAGAGTTTCTCAGTACGTGAAAACTTGAAATTATAAAATTATCATCTTCCCACAACCAATTTAGAAATAATCACCCTTTTGATCAAACCTTATAAAAATAGCTTTCTGACTGACAAAAAAATATATTTTGACAAAAGCTGCCGCCTTTCAAAAAAAGCAACGAAAAAAATAGTTGTTTTATAGTGAAATTATTTCTCGAAAAGTATTTTTTCCTTTGTGTTGAATTTTTGATACCAATTACGATTAGCAATTAATTATATTCCTGATAATTCAATCTCCAAGCTAAGCTAAGTTGACCGAATCAAAACTAAAAACCCGCTAAATTGTTTCGACAGGAAGTAGCCTTGCCAATTCCACTTGATTCCAGCTTTGATCAATATTTTAGAGTAGTCTGAACATTGTACATTGCGAGTATTGACAAAATATACACGTACATTTATAGCATTAAATTTCTATGATACTAAGAGAAAAATGATAAAAAAATATTTGTGGGACTAGCCATGAGATAATGTCCCTTTTGAGGAATGTCACAAATTTCAAACAGACCTTCAATTTCACGTAATAATTGAAAAAAGTTCGGATCCAAGTTAAAAACCCGTATATAAAAAATCGTAGGATTTAAATTACTTATTACTTCCAAATAAATCTATTTTGCGATATAGTATATACATTTTGCATGAGCGTAAAAAGAGAACAATTGGTTTTGGTTTTATTTTATTGACACTTTGAGCTTGACATCCCGAATACTGTACTGTACCAACACCGTACACTAAACTAAAGTTATGCTACTACTTACCTTTACAGCGCTTTAGATACATCACTTTCGCATGCTTTTTCCCTTTGTAATGCATTTCCGCTTGCATCTGCGTATTTTAGGTTAAAAAAGAAAGAAAAAGGTTAAACGCGGATTACGTGACTGTAGCAAAAGATAACCAAAAAATTAGGATTTGAAAAACTGTCAAAACATGTAGACTTAGATGACCACGTAAATAAAGGTTTCGCCATGAAAATGGCAACACAAAGGACGATTCATAGGGTTAAAGCAAAATTTTATATTTTACCAAGTTACCATTTGTTATAATTGGTTCTGGAAAAAACGCACTGTGTACCATTTATAGACCATAATTGACCAGAAAGTCAATTGCCGTTCCAATTACCATGATCATTTGGAATTCAGTAATGACGTCTTTCGTGGCCTTCTACATATATATATCAGAAAAAATGATCTCCGCAACTTGGCATGCAAATTTTAAGGTAATGGATGGTCAGACACGAAGGTACATGTGGTGTAAAATGTTATTTTTAATATTCCTTCACCACCTGAGCTGTCTGTTTCTGAATCAAATATGATTATATTTTTAACTCATTAGTCATAGTGAAATCAACGCTCTCGCTAACTTTTAGTAAACTATTATTCTTATGATGACTATAAAAATACACGAATCTAAATTGTCTGAAAACTGGCTTCTAAAATTAATATACAGATGATAAAATCATGTCAAATATCAGCAGTAATTTGGGTATAAAGATCTTATAACTGTAACTGCAGATTTTGACCATAGATGACTTATTCTAAGATCAATTATGTGTGAAAGCAAATCTTCTGCCTGTGCTGTAGACGAGTTTTATCCAAAATAACTGCCTGGACTGGCGGTTAGACGGTCAAACTCTCATTTATGTTGGAAATTTTAACAGACTTTGCTTTAAATATTCAGATTGTAGCTTAACCTGGACTACAACCCTTCACTTTTCTTGTGTTATAACAAAGTTGCCATTGATTATATTGTTAGACTTGCGAGAATTTTCAGAATATAAAGGTAATCACAATTTATGTTTTGATCATGCGAAGGCCGTCGATAAAAACAACGACTGGATGCTGATTTTTTCAGATTCTCACTCGATCTAGCGCAAATTATACCCAACACGTAACCTTCTGTTTTGGAATCTGTTGTTCAACCGAAAGTGGCTCCTCCCATTTTCCCATGCACAATAGGTAACGTCGTATCGGAAATAATCGTAATGCCTTGTAAATGGGTACGTTATCGTGTTATGTTACATTTCTTATATATACTTGTTGCTTCAGGTAAGACATATACAACTTATGTAGCTAAGTTAAATTTATATCAGGAATATTAAGCAATGTTTATATAAGACTAACATGTAGTGCGTATACTTGATGGAAGGTTGATCAATTCCTCTCTGATATTATGTTATCATATTCTATTAAAGTCTATTTTTTGAGTAGCTCCGAATCGATAAAAGTAGATCAATTCCAGAAAATTGGGTTAAAATTTTCAGGGCGCTTTAAAAGTATACTATTTTCCATAATTTTCGATAGTATACGTTTATTATCCTATGGTAATCAATTCAATAAAAGTACAAGCACAAGTTACGAATATTAGACTATTTGATGATACCGGTACGACATAGACCGGTCCATACAGGGGTGTTATTGAATGTATGCAACTGTATAAACTGTTCGTTTTAGTAACTATCGTTTTTGGATATAATTTACTCCGCCTGGAATGAAAGATCTTGTCTGCCAGGCACCATCCTTGATTTGAATTGAAGTTATATTGGTTTCCACTTGAACGGCGCATGTGTGTCGCGTATTACAGCTCTCGTTGTTTTTGAGATTTCTGTTTATTTTCATTTGGATTTCGCGTTCATTCATCGCATTTACCTTCAATTATTTTATGTATTTATTTATTTAGCTCATACACTAAGTTTTTTTGACAAAAACTCAGATATAATTTGACAATTGAAAATGGCAGAAAAATAAACGAAATAATTTTCCTTTCAAGATATTTTATTTATAAGCGCATTCGATCACTAACGTTTAGGCATTTGAATTAGAATACTATTTTCCAAAAATGCAAACCATGACAAATACTGACTATTCCATGTAAACGAGTGGGATGGATGAAACAGCTAAGACCAAGATAATATAACCTCCGCTGTTTTACTTGCTTATTATGAATAAATTTTAGCTAACTTTCAATAATAATACGATATATAGAGTTTTTAATGACTCATTATGTCATAAGTCATTACCTCACGAGACAAACTGTCTGATGCAGTAGTTCCTAACATTTTTCTCTAAATTCCAACCTATTTCGGAACTTCGCGCATTTCTCCCTTAATATATATAATAACTACTTTAATTGCTCAATTCGTAATGAATTCTTAGCAAGTTATATGCGCAAGCCGCACAAAATTGAAGTGGACAAATTAAATTATACTTTGACCCGTATGACAATTATCATCAAGTAAAACAAATTAGTGAAACTTTTGTTCGACACGTTGGCTCAATGGTGATTCGAACTGGAATGACATTTCTTCGAATATAACGTGCTGGAATAAAACTTGAAGACAATGCGAATTTTCAAGACAGTCTTTTCTTACTGTCACGTGATCGGGATTGCACAACGCCGACAGAAGAGTACCGATAATCCTGAGCGATCAAATAACCTAACTACCATTTGCTGACTTTGAAAGCTTTTCAAACGACCTTATTCACAATATTCCGAGTTTTGAAATACCCAATGTATCGTCATCAAAACATTATTTTCGGCATTCATTATTCCTAATAATTTACGTACGTAAAAATTGATCTGACAAAAATCCAGTAACCAGGCTTCTAATCTGGCACTCAGATGCAATGTGTATCATCTACTACACAACACAAACCCTATCTGAAAGATTCCTCTCTCTAATGTCTCACATACTGTTGATGCATAATACGCTGCAGCATATCCAAAATATGCCACAATTTAAAAAAAAACGCAATCAGATGTATTAACCGCGTACTTTTAGTATTAATATTCTCTATCATATCATGTTACACAGCACGCGAACTCTCTTTTTAATGACATCCGCGATTTTTAGCGTAAAAAGCTTGCCTACGCGCAAGGATAAAGTCATTTTGCTGTTCCAAAAACTGTTAAATATACACGTGAATATTACCTAACATTTCATATTATTGTTACATTTAGATTATAAATGATAGGGTATGGCCTGAAGATGGAACGAATCATTATGGCAAGAATATGCTATGACCATACTTGATAGATCGAACAAGAATGATTAAATTTTGTAAAATTTTCCGTTTTTGAATAGCGTGCTCTTTCTGTTGTGTTTAGTTGAATTGATTTGAGGGTTGCCAGTTCTTGATAACGGAAGCGGAAATACGCGGCTTCGTCACGCTGTTGGTTTAGACAGAAATTTTCCAGTCTTTGTCTGAGTCGGTCAAAAGTTGAACAACTTGGTATAATAAAGACAGGACGGTTTAATTTTTTCGAAGTGCGTATTGGTGAGATTTTCGGCGAGATTTAATATTTAGATCACGTCCCAAAACGATCAAAATAGCGACCGTTATTGCGAAGGAAATGAATTTTTTTTTTTTAATTTTTATATAAACTTTTTACCATAGCTAAGAACAAGCCAATGTCAATAATTCACCAGTAGCTACAACATTTTTGAAACATATAATGGCTTTAGAGGCGCTCCAGAAGTGTGTGTACCAATATGTAGGTAACAGTGGCGTAGCATCCACCCCCGCAATCCCCGCGGTCGCGGGGGGGGGGGGGGGGGGGTCACAGCGAAAAGGGGCCCAAGCGGTCAAAATTTAGAAATTTAAGAAAACCAAAAGCTGCATTGCAAAAGCAGTAATGCACATCTTATAATGTTGATGTTAGTTCTGCTCGAATCGTTTTGTTATGTAACAATGCCGGAGTCGTCGATTTTCGGTGTCGTGTGGTTTGATCGCACCGGCCACCGGCACAATTACGAAGGCTGTCAGATTGATGTCGAAAGCAAAACCTCTTAGTGGCTCACAAAAACGAAGATGAAGGGCAGAAGAGGAAGAACGTATGAAAAAAATTAAAGTAACCAAGATAAACGAAATATGTAAACCAAAATTGAAACAATTAGACTTGGGAATACCGAACGTAACTGAGGAGGAATTAAACCTAGCACCGGTGGTATCGGTAGAAAACCAGATGCGTGTTCAATCTCCAAAAGTGATGGCGCCGGCGAAAATGAATTTTCTTCCAAAACTTACACGACAATTATCACAGGTAAGCTACTGATTTTTGAAGCAAATTGAAAAAATTGATATGACGAAGATGGTGGATGAGTTTGCTAACACGAAAGCGCAAATTTTAGGTTACCATTGCCTTTTTATAGCGACATGTTATGCTTTTTGACGAAATAAAAAAAAAATTGTTTTAGCTTATGTCCGAGAGTTTTTAGGGTCATTTTGGGCCCACGAGAGTCTTGCTACGCCACTGGTAGGTAACTAATTTTGTTCGCCTACTTTACATCAAGTTGTGTAAAGGGACTGAAACCTATGGGCAGGGGTATATTCACTTGGCTAACACAGACAGTCTCCCAACTCGTAATCGAACTAAAATCGGAATAGAATTATGGCCTAACCCGGTACATACACTACGGGGGTACCGCTTTAGCGAGGGCGAGCCCAGAACATAGCATGAATCCCACTTCATATACTTGGTATAACCATTCCCCAACAAAATAATATTTGCCCCGACTCACAATAGTGGGAGTAGTGTATGACAAGTGTGTGTGACACAACTCTTTTGAGACATCGTTCAAAATATATGTATCCACCGATGCGACCATGCGAAATAATCGCAGTCAATTATTAAAAGCTTTCCAAAATCAAAATTTTATCTCATTTCACAGAACATCTGTTAAATTTTGTCACCAATGGTCGCAAATATATTACACTATGAAGTTCACTTTATATAAGGAAAAAATTGGGTATACCTCCTCCATTAATTCCGAGGCATGGAATTGAATGTCATGCAGACGTTTAACGTGGTATTGGACACGAGGTGGATACATGGATTGTTTCGATGTTGTTGTTAAAATCGCTTTGCTCTTTTAAAACTGAGCCAATTGCTTTTTCAGTGGGTAAAGATGGTATTTGACGTCAGAAGGCTTTTTCTAATTTTTGTGGGCTCTATGGAATTCGTTGTTTTCGCGCAATGACGCCGTCAAAATTTTCACACCTTGTGGCGGTTCCGCGTTCGCGTTCGTTTCTATCTGGTGGTCAGGCGGAGACTGCGGTACCTGTAGTCTACCGTGACAGATCGCATACCCGTACTACTTCGCTTCGGATTTTGTGTCAATATACTGAGCTATGCTCCTTGTGTTGTTAATGATGAGGTGCCTATATTCTACACTGAAAACTTATATTTAATCTGACTTATTTAAAATTGATACTGCTTTATACATACGTTTAAACCAAAACTATACCTCGGTTATGATATGAGGCGCTATGGACATACTCACTATTTTGCGATTTAATCAATGTTTCAATAATCTACAAAATCTCTTACAATCGATGCTTGGTGTGGACAATTTTTATGGTCCAGACTTGTCAAATATATTTCACTGATGATTTGCAGACCAAAGACTTTTAAATAATTGAAACAACTAGTGAAGTTTGACAGCTTAATGACTCAATTTTGAAGTTGAGAACGACCAAACGCCTACTTTATCAATAAAAGTATTGCATTTGAATATTCTAAATACCTAATTATAAAACTAATATTTTATATATTAAATAAAATGTATTGTTTATATACATGTTTGCATAGAAACAAACACGACATGGTGGACAAACTTATTAGAGAATATATAAGCAAGTTACGCAATTTTTCACACAAAAAAACATTCAAACTCTTTACAGACAGAACTAGACACTTGCCTTTTCTATACATATATAATAACCTTTGCTGCCTGGACTACTGGCGCCTTTCTAAATTTTCATATACATACATCTGCAAAGCGTATTGTCTTCAATGTCAATTCCAAATCTTCTTAGACCCATTCTGCATATTCTCTATCTTTGTCGTTCTTTTTTGCTGAAGCAATATAAGCGTACTCTCTCTACTACATCTAACTTTAGAAAAACGAGATTCAGTGTAAAAACAATTTGTAACAAAATCTGAACTAATGAGCGACATTGTAACAAAATGGTCAATTATAGAATATCAAGATAAAAACACGAGTGACCAGAGGTCAAATTTCAAAGCGATTTTATTTCTAAAGCGCCACCAAGTATAGTGTCATTGATTAATCGCGTTTTCAAACAAACAATATCAGTCAGTTTATTTGAACAGTAACGTCAAATTATAACCCACGTTATAAACAGGAAATGAGCAGTTTAGATTTGAGCAATAATAACAAAATAGTGATACAATGTACATTTTAAATGCGAGAGCAAAGTCCGTACCACCAACAGATGAGTTTATAAGAGACATAACCGGTTAAAATCCAAAATACGAACATCTCAGGCCGAATAGGGACACAAAATTATTATACTTGCCATCCTGAAGTAGGCCCAGCGCTGGATTTATCATTGGGCAAAGTAGGATCGACATTCAATTTTGAACTGTTACTCATTTTTAAGCGTTTTCAAATTTAAAGGCATTTTCAAGAATATGACAAGTTAAAATTTTGTTTATGACGCCATTCTGTATTTAGTATCTCATATTTTTAAAGCCAATTATTACGCAATAATCGATTCCATAGCTTGTGACATCATTGTTTGAGAGGGGCCTCAAATAAAATGGTCTACTGTCTTATCGTCGAAATCCGGCCCGAGTATCCTGCCAATGATTTAAAATAGCCAAATACTCTAATGCCGTTTATCATCACTGGCAATGTGGGTGCTCTGTTGTACAGAATTATGACATAAAACCATAGTTATTTACAAACCAAACCCTGTTATTAGTTGTTGCAAAAAGATCAAAGTAATGACTAAATCGTATGATATCTTACCTGTGAGTTGAATATAACATTGCAATTGTCACATCTTCTCATCGCAGGGGTTTGTATCTTGCTTTGATTATACATTGCTTGATGAAGGACTGCCTTTTCTACTGGTCCTAATTGCTGAAAAACAAATCATAGACTTCTCTAAAACATTGCCACGTATTTTGGTGTTACTAGGAAGAAATATAGTTTAGCTCTGAATACGACTCTGGGCAAGCAGGCGTTCGAGAATGTTGAAATCTTTCCCGTTGAGCGTAGATTGAATTGAGCAACAGTCTCACTTACTTCTAAGAATAGATCATAGAGCACATCTTGTCTGGACTCAACTATTTTTTATTGTTGTTTTATTTTTTATTAACGCAGTGAGTTCTAATTCACACCCAATTCCCTACATGACACACAAAATATTTGAGGGCTAAAGAAATATAATTCGATATAGGTCATCGATCTCCACACCTTTCCCAAATTTTACACAAAAGCGAATAAACTAAAACATAAAACTAGTGCACCTCTAAACGTAAGATCGAGTTTTCAATTAATAATTTAACTGAAAGTGCGCGCATTATCATGAAAATCTACTTTGTCGCAGTTTATTTTAGAATTAAGCAGAGGCCATGCATGAACCGAACTTAAAAACTGCATTTTATGCATGCAACATACTCGATCAAAAATACATTTTTTTATTAAAATACCATTTCATCGAATTTAAAATAAAATTTACACTAGATTAAGTTTGGCCGTGTATGTAAACTCATTCTTGACGCCACAAGTCTACACGAGGCGATAAATTATTAAGAGTACAAAAAAGCCTATACCTAAAGCTGGGATAATTCTTTGTCACAGAAAACGACGATTGCCGAAACAACAGATGGTCGCAATGGCCTTATTCCTGGTCTATTTATTATGCATCATAATGTGTACTTTTGACTTTAGGCCTTTAAGTCGTAATTGATTAATTTTATTACATTTGGGAGCACTGTTACGTCACTATCAGACGGGTTTTTGATACACATTTATGAAAAGTTGTGTGGGTAAACTGAAACATATAAATGTTATTACTATATTTTTAATATATATTCTTGTGTTTTCTAGTAATAATATAAATTCTACCCCAAAATAAAATAAGGCTTTTATGTGACATCTTTTTTATGAGCCATACCAAGTACAAATCCTTTTCAAATCAAAACGTTCCCAATTTTTTTTTAGTAAGCAAGTAGAGCAACCTTTTATGCCTGATCTGATATTTAACGCGGTTTAGCTTTTAATCTAATGTTCTATCTCCGTCAAAAATGTCAAATCTTTTAAGAAAGGACAAATATATTAATAACCTACAGACTTTGTTCCGGTTCTGTTCAGTTTCCATGTTAAAAATGGATGCTGGGTTGCAAGTACGTTTGAAAATATCAATTTTTTGAATATATTTTAGATTTGATATATAGACCTGTATATGATTATATATATATATATATACATCATTATTTAGATTGTATTTCATTTTGAATTGTACAATTCTATTTAATTTTGCCAAACGTCTCACCACAAAACTTTAAAATTAAAACTTTAAAGTTTTTGAAAGGATAGTGTAACATATAAAAATAGAAACAATGTTTGCTACTTTATTGTGTAAGACCTGACAAGAATCGTTAACTGTTTAATCAAACAATCAATTTCAACACAAAATGATTTTCATATATTTCGTCATAATGCGATTGAGTGTTGACCATTGTGTCATCACAGCTTGAACTTTGTCTGCTATGACACGTGACCTCAGGTCAGAGCAGCGGAAATCAATTTCCACACGAAGAAACGGATTATCATTTTCATGCTTCTTGTTCTTCATTTGTTTTATTGATACATGACTTGTTGACACGAAGTCACATTACTGTGTTTCGTGTTAACTTAATGCTAAGGTCATTATTGATAACTATTAGGTCAAGTAACTACAAGAATGTGAACGCTGGATTGATCGAATTTTCAACCCACGTCGAGTATATCAAAATTCAAATATTTTGGAAAAGCTATCTTCATTTTAGGCCAAAAATTCAAATTTGTTAGATAAACTTTCAATATCTGATTTATAATAACCTTTGGCACGGGGACATTTATTTTTATATATAAATTACATTTTATTTTCCATGATAAATGAGCATAGTTTTATGCTCAAAAAGTCACAGACTTCCAAAAAATGTCATCCGATATTTTAGGATGGCGTAAATACTAAATGTCATCCTGATTATTCATAATTTTTTTCCATTGTTAGGTCATAAATATATTAATCATATGTTGAATTTTTTCTTAGCATTCCGTCTAGCGTGACAAGTCAATCTAGTATTATAACTAATCGATATGATTCAATATAATAATATAAATATTGCTTTTCGAGTTTCTGAATTAAAATGGTATAAAGGTGCAAAATACTAATCTACGAACCATGCCATTAATAGCTCCTAATGACCCTTCTTGAACGACTGCAGAAAGTCTAGGCGGGATTTTCTCACTGGGCGGGAAATGTTGATTGTCCACTTGAGGCGCTGTATGCGTAGGCATAATTGCAGATTGTCCACCAATGACAGGAGAAATCTCAAAACTTCGAGGTCGAATTGATGGCCAGTTCACGCCTGTAAGAATTATGAAAATTTTCTTTAAAAAATGTTTCTACTTCTCTCTGGGCATCTGTATGGGCAGGTAGTCTTCCATAAATAGACAACCAGCAAATAGGACTTAGAAACGAACGGTGTATAATATATATATCCTCCTGCTACCCTGATAAGCTGCTATGTTTTGAAATGACCTGGCATTAATCCTGAACAAAACCAACTTCAGGGCGATGACGTTGCTCCAAAGAAGATTTAGGAAAGAAAATTGTGAACTATTCTACAAATTAAATTTAAATACGATTTATGAAATAAAATGGCGAACGCTTGCAAAGAAGTGCAAAACAATTTACTATTTTTTTTTACAAATTTTTAAAACATGAACATAACTAAAAAAGGATAAATTCCACTATAAAATTATTGTTATTTAGAAACTATGAATGTACTAAAATATATATTTAAAAAACGTTAATGAACAAAAATAATTTAAATCACAATTTGAGTTTGTGTGTTACGTTAAATGCTAGAATTTAATGGTGCTTGGGATTTTGAGCAATAAATTTTTTTTTAACTTAATTAAATCGGAGGATTTGAATTTTCACTTTTAATTTACATAATTAATGCGCCTTCGCTTTTGGTACTGTGAAAATTAATGGTACAGCTACTGTAATATAAGGGTAACCAATTTGAAATGATAATGCCCCAGCTGGAAAGTTTGCGACAAATGTTCAACTGCGCAAGTTGTAATTACTGTTTCATTGCTGTAAATTTACTAATTTTTTATATAAACGGCAGAATAAAAACGTATTGATATTTTAATTAAAACGTTTGGCAGAAAATATTAGCCCACTTCATAAATTTGTTCAGAAAAAATTCGGAAATTTTTTATTATTAATTTTTCTCACCAGGTATGACGTCCATCAACGTTTTTGACACTGGTCCTGATATCATGACAGCTATTTAGTATAATATAGAATTTTTTGTTATTAATCTACAATAAAATAAGAAATCAAATTATAACTAACACATATAAATATTTCAGTCTGTAAGTACTTTTTAAGAAATGAGCAGAACTGCCAATAATCCTGACCTTCATTGAAGCAAAGATAACATTACGTTTAAGTTCTTGGTGCTGCTATATAATTGATGAGGGTGCCGAGTTTCTAAGGGTGCCGTGTTTCTCTCGACTTATATATAGCTCGATGGTGGGGTAGCGGGTACAACCTCCATGTCTTGACAAGTTTTTAAGATTTTGCTGGTTAGTCTAGTTGGTGTAGATTTTTTAAATATCGTAGTTTGTTTTTAGAAACTAAATTTTGATTACTGCCTAATTTTTCTTCAAATTTGTGAAAAAAAATGGCACGTTGAAAAAGAATTGACAACGGAGGGTTTGTAACGTCCAAGACAATTAACGCAAATAAGATTGAAGGGGTAAAACGTAGAGATTTAGAATTACAGAATTACATGAAATTTATTTGAAAAAGCCAATTTTTTTTCCAACTTCAACTTCTGTCAAAGTTTAGAATTGCCGCAAATCCGTTTGTTATGAACACAAAATAAATATGTTGTTTGTTGATTCACTGGAACATGAATCACTGAGCATTATGAGGTCATAGTTATTTTCCGAGGATGAACTCTTCTTTTGATAATTAAATATTCTTCGATTGACAACATGGTACAGATTAAGTTATTGATTTTGGCAATCGCAAAATTGCTTGAACCGGAGCCTATTTCGAAAGCGACAAAATTAAATCAATTTCAATCTGGACTAAATTGATCCTCTATATAAATTATGTTTTGTTCAAGTAAAACTGGTAATGTAACCGAACCTATTGGTGTTTCTCATACCATACAATCTGTCCAACTTGGATTGAAAACTTTTGCGAGAAGACCACTTGCGCGAATCACTGATTTACAATCGAGCCATATGCTTAAATTAGTGATTCTGCAAACAGTTTACGCGCAGAAGAACCGCTTTCAAGCGTGGTCTATTTAAACTAGTGGGTTCCCAAGCTTCCATTACCTATGACAACCAGGGGGGTGCATAGCGGCCCAGCTTAAGAAACCCTGATCTATACGATCCGGAATTAGAAGTTCACAACTCTTTCTTGTCACCAATTTTGTTTTTTAAAAAAAAATGTAACATGTAGAATATTTTACAAACAGTAATCAATTGCTGAAATCCACGGTGTTGTTTGGTACAAGCGTCTCGAGAGATGATTAAATGGTCGCTTGTTTACGGTATTATCAAATTGTACAATTATTATAATAATATAGTCTGCAATATTGAATGATAAAAGCCCTCCTTTACTCACCCAATGTTTCGACTGCACATAAACTAATAAAAGTATATTTTCTCACATTTATTGGCCTTCTCGTTAAAGGATCACTTAAATTACCAAAGAAACCTGCCTATCTAAAGTTATAATCTCGTCATCTCTGTGGTGACTCGACGCGCTTTCCACCTAGATCTCTTTAAATTTGAAAACATTGATGATTTTGATAAAAAATATGTCAGCAATTCTACATTTTCCACTAATGACCTATCGCAAGAAAGACATTATTTTGCAAGACTATAATTGCCTTCCACTTCAAAAATGATTGTACGACTTGGCTCCAGCCGCACCGGTCTCTTACCTTACACCTGAGGCAAAAATAAACTTCGTTCAAACCAATTCGTAACTTTGCGTCAAAATTTACAAATCCGCATTGGCAGGTTTCAATGTACTTGTCCGATTTCTTTTATTTTTCCATATTTAATCATATTTGATCGTATTAAACATTAAGTTTGGCCAGACTCGATCTACGATAAATTGTTTTTGCGATCGCAAATTAAAATTGAGAAGCTCCACTTAGCTGTCAACTAATCAGCAACCGTTAATTTTTCACTTTTACTTTAAAAATACACACAAAAAAGTGACCTGTTAAGTAAACTAACACTTGATCAATTTTGAACCGCAACTAATCATACACTTTTATGCATGATTTATACCAGCTAGCCGCATGGTAGGTCATACTTGTCATTTTACTTGTTATTGTGCATTTATCTTTCTTATCTTACCCTATTTTAATGGCTTCTTCCGTGAAACCAATGAGGCTAAACGACGCAAAATATCGCAGAGAAAATATACATCAATAGATTAGTTTTCCACGACCCTTTTAAAAGGGCAAATATTACATTTACGTGTTTACCTATACTACAAATGATACCTTCGCCAAGACATATTTCTTTGAATAATTGTAAATACAATTGATCAAGTAACATTATAGATTTGATATCGACCCAACTTTTGAAAAACTAGTCGATTCCAACTGCCTGGAATCGTCTGTTTCCCTACTTATTTTTATTCGAAAAATAAGACGACGTTTCTGCTAACTATGCTATTTATTTCATCACAATGCTCATTTTATTGGCTTTCTGATGACGGAAAACACATTCCATCAATGTAGAATTCTTAGAAATTTAAATGATAACATTACTCCTTTTTCTTGATAACTAAATTAAATTTCGATGAAAACGACCACCGTGAAATATGATTTTAACCTCAGCTTAAAGCTATTCAACTCAACATATCTAATTAATCTAAATTTTGATTTTCAAATTTTGCTTTCTTTGCTATTTTCGCCCATACCATTCTGCAGTGGAGAATATTGCTATGGTTATTGTGGGTTTCGGTTTTGTGACTTTTTTATTATCTGTCGATTTTCTGTCTGTATTGTGACGAAATACAGATTTACCGTGAAACACCATGATAATCGCCGGTATCAAAACCCCTATCCACCATTTCAAATGCTTATCAATAGTTGCTTTTATTCCGTTGCGGCTGTTATTTTTCCAACCATGGGACAAACATGATACACGTCTGTTCGTCTCGTATTTGGTAACTATAGAAATTGAAATATAAAGAAAGGTATTTTATGTTTAAATTTTGAGTTTGATAGACAGAAAGTAGGGAATGCTTTTTACGATTTTATACATATCACAAACTCCCGCGCAATCTTTCCCGTCCAATGTCCAAATATCGATTTTTCCTTCGAAAAATCCATCAATATTTCACGGCGATAGCTAAATATTACCTTCATTTAGGATACAAAATGATAATTTTATATAATAAAAAATAATAATAGGCTTGCGGAAAAAACGAATGCACTTTATTTATTTATTTTTCAAAATAATTTCATTTTTTTATTTTAATGTTTAGAGCCTTAAACACAATATTGGATATGCGATTATTTAGAGATGAGTTATTTAGAAAAAAATAAGGTATTATTTTTAATTTTTTAATATAAATTGGACAAAAATAGATAAAAATTTGATGCATATAAAACAATTATAAAGTGACTTGACGCGAATTTTATAATTTTTTGAGATTTGTAAATTGCAGAATCGAAATTTTGAAATTATTTAATTTTAAAATTATTTTAAACTCTAAAAATTCAAAATAAATCACCATTTTGCGTGGTGATCTCTATTTTATAATATATAAAAACCTGAAATCAAGTTAATTCGAGTTAAAAGTTAGGTACTTAAAATTTAGATTTTCGAATAAAAACCATTTTTTATAATCTTCAAATTATTTCCTTGCAAACATAATAGATCTTCAGAGCACAATAGGGTGGGTATTGATATAATATACTTTGATATTTCATGCTTTCCGTTTGCACGAAATTGGTATCGGTACGTCTATTATTCACATTAATGCCAAAAATTCCCACCTGTCAAAGATTGCCACCGACGACAAAAAATCGGTGATGTCGCGGCAACTTGTTCATCATAATCTGCGGTTATTTACGATTATCATATCTAGCCAAGTATCAACAAACAATTTGTATTCAGACACAAAGACAAGATTATTTAACACGTGTTAATTTTGAACTTTTGTACATGACACGTTTAATATAATTAAGTTGGAAAATTACCTACCATTACAATTACAAAAACACCAAATCAAACGCAATTTTTCGAGGCATTCACAAAATAAATTCTAAATCAACTTGATATTTGACAGAAATATTTTGGGCGT